GCAATCTCGGCTCACTGCAACCTCCGCTTCCCAGGTTCAAGTGATTCTCCTGTCTCAGCCTCCTGTATGGCTGAGATTACAGGCACATGCCACCATGCCTGGTTCATTTTTGTATTTTTAGTAAAGAAGGGGTTTCACCATGTTGGTAAGACTGGTCTTGTACTCCTGACATCAGGTAAGCCACTATGCCTGGTCAAGAAATGCCATATTTTTAATATACTAGACTAAGAAAATAACTCAGTAAAATATATGTAATGAGAGCAAAAATAAGATCGCTTGCTGTTAAAGAGAACAGAACCTTTAAATTATGGGTGTTTATCAGTTCCAGAAATTGCTTAAATTAGGTGACTTCACCACCTAATTTATTGTTTTATAATTTATGTATACATCGTGCATATTTTATATATCAAATGGTTCATAACAAAAACATTCAAACATTTCCTTATGTTTTCAATGGTTGGTTCAGCTGGTGAGTACCAGTTTTATGGCCCTTTTACAATCAGCAAGTCATATTACTAACAGTTTCTTCATTAACATAAGAAGTCTGAACATTTAATCCTAGAAGAATCCAAATTCATGGCTTATTGAAATCATCATATTGTTCAACAGATATCTATTGATTATCTTCTATTTGCTCAACACTGAAAAATTGTTTCCTTACTCTTTCATTAAACAACATGTCTCTTTTGATAAAGCATAAAAGCCTCACATTTTCCTTTATATTTGAAATTTCAGTAAGTTAAGTGTCATAGCTTTTAAAAATGTCCCTATGGGACAAAGAGGTGTTTTGTTTTCAATTACTACCTCTCTTTCCTTGGAAATCACTGCTTAAGAACCTTAGAAAAAAAAGTAAGATAACGCTTGTGCACAAAGTGCTTATGATTTAAATCATAGTGATAATGCTTAATGATGAATTAAGAGTAAGACTAAGGGGTATACTCTAAGGTTAATGGAACGTTAGAGATGAGGGAATGACCAATAGCTGGAAGCAGTGGCTTTTAAAATTTTTATTTTTGAGATGCAGTCTTTGTTGCCAAGGCTGGGGTGCAGTGGCACGCTCACAGCTCACTGCAGCCTCAACCTCCCTGGGCTCAGGTGATCCTCCTGCCCTAGCCTCTAGAGTAGCTGGGACTACAGGTGCATACCACCATGCCCAGCTAATTTTTGTATTTTTTTGTAAAAAAGATGGCGTTTTTGCCATGATGCTAAGGCTGTTTGTGAATTCCAAAGCACTGAGTTTACAGGTGTGAGTCACGCCTGGCCAGCAGTGGCTTTATGGAACGTGGTTAAGACTTGAACTGAAGCACAGGGAGATAAGAAGGAAAATCCTGGTGGCAGAGAGCCAGTAAACTCTCCATGGTTAGAGTGACTACAGGACAGTGAAGAGTTGGGAGTGATGCCCTGATACACAGCATCACTCAAGTTTTTTAAACCAGGTTAAGCAAGATCAATTTGGTGGCAGATGTAGAACAGAAAGGAGCAGGAAATTTTGAAGGCCTGTCTAGGGCAGCAGAAGTGGGTCAGGGCAAAGCATGCTTTGATCTCTTCTAGAATGAGCTAACCGACCTCCCAGTGATTTCTGATTTTGGAAGGCAGTCCTTTGGCAAATCATCTGATGTACTGTAGGCATTGTTATTTCTCTTCTCTGTTATTTGAATTTGTGTTTGTTTATATTTTGCTTCTTGCTCTGTGGCCCAGGCAGGAGTGCAGTGGTGCAATCACAGCTCACTGCAGCCTTGACCTCCTGAGCTCAAAGAATCCTCCCATCTCAGCCTCCCAAGTAGCCTGGACTGCAGGCATGCACCCCCCTGCCTGGCTAATTAAAAAAATTTTTTTGGGCCAGGCATGGTGGCTCATGCCTGTAATCCCACCACCTTGGGAGGCTGAGGCTGGTGCATCACGAAGTCAAGAGATCAAGACCATCCTGGCCAACATGGTGAAACCCTGTCTCTGCTAAAAATACAAAAAATCAGCTGGGCATGGTGATGGGCACTTGTAATCCCAACTACTTGGGAGGCTGAGGCAGGAGAATCGCTTGAACCTGGGAGGCAGAGGTTGCAGTGAGCAGAGATCACGCCACTGCACTCCAGCCTGGGGGAAAGAGCAAGACTCTGTCTCAAAAAGAAAAAAAAAATTTTTTTTTGTATAGATGAGGTCTCACTATGTTGCCTAGGCTAGTCTTGAACTTCTGGGCTCAAATGTTCCTACGGTCTTGGCCTCCTAAAGTGCTGGGAGGTATGTGTCACTGTGTGTGGTCTATATCTTGTTTTTTAACTGGATATCCAATCTTTGAGGGTGGGTACCATGCAGCATCTTGTAGAGTAGGGGGTCAATAAATGTGATTTCGATGCACAGGTAGCTGACAGTGTCTGCAGGAACACTTGGCAGCCAGCACCTGGTAGGTGGCTGCCTATGAGAGCAGGAGAGGAGGACACGTGTCAAAGGTAATTTCCTGTATAGACTTCTAAGAGAATGATGGCCTCACTGTCACAGACAGAAGCATCGGAGCGGAGGAGGAGCTGGGGTTGTGGAGAGAAAGTTATGAGTTTAGCTTTGAACATTCTCAGTTTGAGGTGAAAGTGAGACATTCAAGAGAAATTCATAGTGTTTAAGGATATAGAACAAGGCTGGGTGCAGTGGCTCACACCTGTAATTCCAGCACTTTGGGAGGCCAAGGCAGATGGATCATTTGAGGTCAGGAGTTTTAGACCAGCCTGGCCAACATGATGAAACCCCATGTCTACTAAAAATACAAAAAAATTGGCCGGGCGTGGTGGCTCAAGCCTGTAATCCCAGCACTTTGGGAGGCCAAGGCGGGTGGATCACGAGGGCAAGAGATCGAGACCATCCTGGTCAACATGGTGAAACCCCGTCTCTACCAAAAATACAAAAAATTAGCTGGGCATGGTGGCGCGTGCCTGTAATCCCAGCTACTCAGGAGGCTGAGGCAGGAGAATTGCCTGAACCCAAGAGGCGGAGGTTGTGGTGAGCCGAGATCGCGCCATTGCACTCCAGCCTAGGTAACATGAGTGAAACTCCGTCTCAAAAAAAAAAAAAAAAAAAAATACAAAAAAATTAGCCAGGTGTGGTGGCACGGACCTGTAGTTCCCGCTACTAGGGAGGCTGAGGCAGGAGAATAGCTTGAACCCAGGAGGTGGAGGTTGTGGTGAACTGAGATCATTGAGATCATGCCAATGCACTCCAGCCTGGGTGACAAGAGTGAAATTTCATCTTAAAAAAAAAAAGGCTATAGAACAAGAACTCAGGTGACAGGAGAGAACTAGAGATTTTGGATTGAGTTTGGAGATAAGGGCTGACATTTGCAGAATGCTGAGTTTCCAGCTTCTGAAGCAAAGCTCAGGGAACCAAAAACTGAAAAGAAACCCTGAAGCTGCACTGTCCAATATGATAGCCACTAGTCTCATGGGGCCATGCACATTTAACTTTAATTAAAATAAAAAACTTCAGTTCTGACTCAGTCACACTAGCCACATTTCCAGTTCCTAATGGTCACATGTGGTTAGTGGCTACGGTAATAGGCAGTGCACACACAGAATATTTCCATCATCACAGGTAGATTTTTTATGGGACCGCAGTGTAAAGATACAAATAAATATATATTTGAGAGAAAACCAGAAACCTGATGTTTCAAGGGAGGAGAGAGTGTTAAGGAGGAAATGCTGACAGTGTCAAATGCTGGGATTGGGTGTAGAATTCTATTAGGAAAGCAGCAGGAAGACAGCAAGTTATTGAGACTTTGGACAAGGAAAGGGAGAAAGGGACAAGAAAAAAGATAGTAGCTAGAGACAACCACAGTCACATGGAGGATTTTTAAAGACAGGAAGGAATGTTTATCCTTCAAACATAACAATGTTTGAAGACAAATGGACAAAGGCCTGTGAAGATGTTAAGAGTCCCCACATCCAAGCCTGCCCTTGCTTCTCTCTGTAGCTCAAGGCTCAATTTGATAATAGTCTGTTGGCGATCCATCTTATGGAAGTCCTGCGAGCGCCTCCAGCTCAGCACATCTAAGACCAAACTCATGATGGCCCACCCCTTACTCATGCTCCTTTAAAATCCTTTACTTCAGTTCATCTTTCCAGTTACTAAAAGCTGGGAAACTCAGTCATATTTGAATCATTCTCTCTTGCCTCTCTCTTTGATCAGTTACCTGGGGATACTTATTTTACTACAGTACTTCTATCAGGTACTTTTTTTTTTTTTTTTTAAGTTTAAAATAATGCTCGTATTTCAGGCAAAGAGAACAATATAGAGAATACAGTAATAATACACTCAGCCTAGCTTAAGTAAAACTTGCAAATGTAAACAAAGCCCATGGGAAACTCATTCAAATCCCATTCTCCTCTTCATACGAAGGGTAATCACCATTTTTAAATATAGCACTTATCATTCCTTTGCAATTACAGTGTTACTACATATGTATATATCCATATATAGTATAGAATATCATTTGGTACATTTAAAAACTTTATATAAAGTAACATGTTTATTCTTCTATAGCTAACCTTTATCACACAATATTATCTGAGATTTATCCATGACAGTCATCTCTTTTCATTTATATTCTGTTTATATATTAATGCATGTCTACTATACATATATACGTATGTATATATAGATTATACATATATGTGTATAGATTATACACATATATGTGTGTATAATTGCATTTTTTATTCTAGCTGTTTGGTTGGAATGGAGTGATGACATGGTGTAGCACTCAGCCATTTTAGGGGGAGCTGCAAAAATTCTGTTCCTTAAAGGCAGGTAAAAACTGCTTTCAATATTTTCTACAGTACAATACGATCTTCTCTTGGCATCATCATTATTTTTCCCTTTTATCTCTTCTAACTAGGTTCTGGGTATCGTTGACTCTCTTGAGATTAGTTGATGTATGTGTATGTCTGGTTTATATGACCAGAGAAAATAAACAAATTCTATTATAAAATTGAATCATCAAGTATGAATACACTCCATGCTGAAGGTTGTTGCTACTCATTTAAGCACATCACACTTTAATGGCTTCAGGTTTTTTATTACTATTATTTTTGAGAAAGAGATGAAATATGAGTGTATTTAATGTAAACTAGAATGTTTCTGAAGTGTGATAGTCATTATGTAGTAGAACAAGTTAAGATCCTTGAAATCCAGTGTGAACAGATTAAAGAGATCTCAGATGGTTAAAAGTAAGGTCACAATCATAGAAACAAAGGTTAAGATCCTTGAAATCCAGTGTGAACAGATTAAAGAGATCTCAGATGGTTAAAAGTAAGGTCACAATCACAGAAACAAAGGTTATGTTCTTGAGACATTAATTTCGGTTGAATGATATAGAATTGCCACCTTTTAAGATAAAAAACAGTCACATATTGGCAATTTCAAATGGTCCACTTGATAGATGTTCAGGAGGGAAGGAATGCAGAAGGGAGTGTGAAGGAAAGAGCGCAGGTCTTCAGGTGTTGTGCCATTAGCCAGGGCCATCACTGTTTAATACTGAATGGCTGAGCTCTTGCAGATGTAGATCAAGCAATATTTAGTTGTCTCTTCTCTTTGGAAGAAAGGGGTTGCAAAATATTCCACATCAGCAGGTGTATAGAAGCCTTCGGGGATTTTTCACCATCATCACATTTCCAAAGGATTTAAGAAAGCTTACAAAAATATATGACATTTTTAAAAGTGAGGAAATCGAGGATATGGGTAAATAGGGACATCCAGATCTCCTAACATAATGTAAACAGCACAGAACTTCTTCAAATCGTTTTGGAAAAGAAAGTATAAATAATATCCAGTACTGTGATTCTCTCCCTGTTAAGCAATTGCAATTTTGAGTTTCTATGTAAATGTAGCAGTGGTGCCATTGAGAGGCAGCCTTCTATTTAGAATATGTCTTTTAATTAAATTGTATTTCAAGACTTGACTACAATACTGAAATAGCTAGAACAACTTTCAAGAGACTACCTTCATTGTCAACCATTTTTTAAAGATACTACTTCATGACAAGAACTCAAGTATGGTCTAAAAGGGTTCTCTGAATCTGACTAAAGTAGTGTATGCTTTTGGTACATGCATCTTTTGTTGTTAAAAAATTTAAAAATTGATACATAGTATTTGTACATGTTTATGGGGTACATGTATTTTGATACATGCAGTGGGTAATGATCAAATCAGAGTGTTTAGGGTATCTATCACTTTGGACATTTTTTTTTGCCCCCTCTCCCCTGTCACCTTGAACATTTATCATTTCTTGTGTTGGGAACATTTTCAAAGCTTCCCTTCTAGTTATTTTGAAATATACAATATGTTGCTATTAACTATAGTCACTCTACTGCGCTATTAAACACTAGAACTTATTCCTTCTAAGTAACCGTATATTTGTACCAATTAACCAATCTCTCTTTATCACCCAACCTACATATGTGGGTGGGGTGATAGAAGCATTGCATCAAAAGCAGTATAGTTAGTTCAGGTCGGTTTTAAAAATATTTTTTAGACAGAGTCTCACTCTGGTTGGAGTGCAGTGGTGTGATCTCGGTTCACTGCAACCTCCACCTCCCAGGTTCAAGTGATTCTCCTGCTTCAGTCTCCCAAGTAGCTGGGATTACATGTGTGCCCCACCATGCCTGGCTAATTTTTGTATTTCAAGTATTGACAGGGTTTCACCATGGGGAGCACGCCGGTCTCGAACTTCTGATATCAAGTGATCTGCCTTCCTCGGCCTCCCAAAGTGCTGGGATTACAGGTGTGAGCCACGGCGCCCGGCTCGGTTATTTTTCTCAGAAGTTTTTTGCTTGTCAAAATGGTCTATGGACGTGCCGCCCCCACGCCCCCCAAAAAGAAAGAAAAAAGACAATGTCTCATATCAATTGCCAATTACTATCAATGAAGAAATGAATTTAATCCCTGTGGCCAAGTACTTTGCTCTTTAGGTAGCTGGATTAATGCTTTGCAAAAAGGGCATGGCAATAGTGTACTTATACCCACAGAACATATCCCCACTCCTGAAAAAAAAAACACCTGAAAATGCCTGAAATATTCTTTCAAGGGAAAGAGCTACTTTCCATCCAATATATCTAGGCAGGAAGAGTGATAATAGTGACTTCCTCTCTCCCTGTCCACTGATTTTCACCTGTCCTGCTCTTCAAAGCACCCATGTCTTTTTTTCCATCATTCCACCCCAAATCAGGGTTTTTGTGACTTTTATTTCCTTAAAAGTTTTTGTTGTAAAATAGTACACCATTTATACTATTCAACTTTGAAAGTGATTTTTCCACTTAAATATGAGCTCACAAGGACTTACTATTAGAAGAGATGAGCCCTATTCTTAGACTCAGAATTTTGGGTCTCATTTCCGCATGTTTGTGGTTTTTAGGTCAATTCCCTGGAAATTCGATCTTTCTACAATTAAGAGCAAAGTAACCATACAATGTTTCTGATCCTGTGAGCATAGGCGGTTAAGTGCTTTGGCACTGGGATGCATACTCACTATCTCACAAATGGATTACCTATTAAGTTGGTGCACACGAAATCTAGTTAAAGTGCTTGGACTTCACAACCTTGTCCACTAACATAACATCACATATCACACAAAATATAATAATCACAGTAATGGGAAGTCAGATTTCTAAAAAAGAGTTTTTGTGGACAGTATTTCCACGTCTTGAATTTAACTTCTTTCTTGGCAACTATACCTGAGGGTAACAGGCAGAGACATCTCTTAGTTGGCAAAACACAGACATAAAACCTGGCATTTTCCCCCAGGATGACAGCAAGGTATCAAGGATGCCAAAGAGGGAAGCAGTGTTAACCTAATCCAATACGTGAAACAAGATTGTAAAATACAACAAAAATGTTCCAGTGGGGGAAAAAAGGTACTTCACCGGTTCAAGACTTGAAAAATATTGGCAATGGTTGATGGGTTTGATTCAGGAGGTATCTGACTTGGTACCAGGAGGATTAAGAGGCCGGGAATAATACTTTTGCAGCAAAATGATTGTGTGACTGAATTTTTAAAAAATAGAATTCTGCCCCATTGAATACCTCTACACTGCACAAATAAAATGAAATTCAAGTCCTTGTTTTGGTGCCACTGGCCAGAATTAAAGCTCTCCTTCCGGATGTGAGATAACATATTTCTTTTTTGCTTTAAATGCCTCCCTCCAGGGTACGTGAAAGTGGGAGATTGGTAAGCTGAGGCTAAGGGGGATGGCTGTGACTGAGAATCTGAGAGCTAAATGTGTGAGAGAAAATCCTCCTCCAGCCTCGGAGGGGGTGTCTCCCCTAATACCAGCTCCCTCCCCCCGGGCTCGTGGGGCGGGTCTGGTTTGTTCAGTAGCGACAGCGGCCGCAACAGCAGCCCCGGGGCTGAGCGGCGGTGGCCTCCTGGCAGCGCAGGGAAACGGCGGCTCCAAGAGCGCGAGGCCCTGGGGAGATCCGGCCGAGGCTGCCGCCGAGATGGAGGAAGCGTCGAGTGGAGCCGGAGTCACCGGGGACGAATTTCCTCCCCAGCTCAGCTCCCCCACAGCTTGGTTAGGCCTGCTCCGAGCGCCTGCGAGGTGGAAGAGGCCTGCGCCTCGGGCCTGGCAGCCGCAGCCGACGAGAGAGGCGGGCACAGCGGGGTAACCGGCGAGCCGTAGCCGCTCTCGGGAACCTACGCTGCCACGGCCGCTCATTGTCTCTCCCCTTCCACCTGGGGGGCAAACAGGAAGCGCGCCGCCTGGCAGAGCGACGGACGGGCGCCTGGACCAATGAGCACAGCAGATGGAGAGAGCAGCGGCGAATGAGGACCAAGAAGAGGGGCGGGAGTTCCGGGCGGGCTGTCACCCTCTTCCCCCCTTTTGGGCTGGAGGCTCCACCTTTTGTGTTTCCCGCACAGTCAATCAAAATAGGAAAAAAAAATCCCCGGACCGCTCCGGCCGTGTCCGCCGCCGCTTCCCGCATCCTCTCCCGCCGCCGCCGCCTTCGCTCCTCACCATGTGTAAGGCGGCGGGGAGCCCCGCCTGAGGTGCCCTAAACACACTATGACCGGTACGTAAAGCCGAAAGAGAGCAACCCTTGCTGCTGCCGCCGCCGCTGCTGCCGCCGACCACAGCCAGCCCGGGGCCGCCGCCGCCGGTCCCGGCCCCGTGTGTGCGACCGAGTGTCTGTGAGAGGCAGAAAGCTGCACTCCCCTCCGCCTCCCTCCCTTCCCCGCCAGCTACCGTCCACCCCCGAAGCCCCAGCAACGCCGTCTCCCCGCCAGGCCCCGGGGCGGGCGGCGCGGTCCGCCGGGAGCGCATCCCCCTGTGTGCGGGCGCGGGCGGGCGTGTGTGAGTGACTGACGGTGCGAGAGGAGCGAGCGCGAGTGAGAGCGAGCGGCGCGAAGGGAAAGGGGAGGAGAGGAGAGGGGGCAGGGGCAGCGCGGGGAGGAGGAGGAGGAGGGAAAGAGGAGGAGGAGGAGGGTTACAGGCAGCGGCGGGCGGGGGCAGCAGCAGGAGGGGAGGAGGGAGCCGCCGCCGCCGCCGCCGCCGGAGGGCGGGTGGGGGAGGGGAAGGGGCCTGGGTCCGGGCTTTGGGAGTAATTTCGACTCGGCCCGCGGGCCCCCTCCCTCTCTGCCACCTGCCTTCCTCCCCCACGCCCCCACCCCCAATCCTGCTCTGTGCCTGCAGCTCCCGAAAAGCCCGTGAAACAAGAGGAAATGGCTGCCTTGGACGTGGACAGCGGCGGCGGCGGCGGCGGCGGCGGCCACGGCGAGTATCTGCAGCAGCAGCAACAGCACGGAAACGGCGCGGTGGCGGCGGCGGCGGCGGCCCAGGTGAGGAGCGGCTGAGACCCGGTCCGGCTCCCCCCTCGCGCCGCTTTCTCCTCCCCTCGCCTCTCCCCTCCCTCCTCAGTTCTCCCCTCCCTCCTCGCCTCTTCTCTCCCCTCCCCTCCGCTCCCCTCCCCCCGCCCCGGGTGCTGCCCGCCCGAGGCGCCAACGCTCCGACCCCGCCCGCGCCGCCCCGCCCCGCCCGCCGCCTTTTTTGTGCGCGTGTGAGTGTGGGCCCCAGCGCGCCCTCCTGGGGGTGGGTTCCGGGCGGAAGGCGGAGGCCCGGCGCGCAGCGCGCAGCCCGCCGCCCGCCTGCCCGCGGACCGGGGAGCCGGGGTGCGTGGAGCGGGGTACGCCAGGCGGGGGCCGGCGGCGGGACCTGGAGGAGGAGGACGACGAGGAGAGCGCGGGTTGGCGCTCGCCCGGTCGCAGTCGGCGGGGACCGAGTCGCACTTCCTGTGCGAGCGGCGGCCCGGCCCTAACTGCCACCCCCTCCCCCTGTCTCCCTCTCTGAACCCGCCCATCGGGGGTAGGACACTCAGCCGTCACCGCTTGCTCTGCTGGCCGCTACCTGCAGCAAGATAGGGCCGCCATCGCCGGGCGACGACGAGGAGGAGGCGGCCGCCGCAGCCGGGGCCCCCGCCGCCGCCGGAGCGGTAAGTCCCGCGCGCGGCCCGCCCCCGCCGAGGCCCGGCGCCCGCCATCCCGGGCCCGCGACGCGCCCGCCCAAAAGGCCTCCCCGGCGCCCGCGCTTCCCCCGACCAGGACCGGCCGCCGGGCCTCAGGGCGTCCTTTCCTGCTCTTTCGCATCCCTGCTTGGATCTGAAGCCAGCCCAGGCTTTCTCGAAATTGTCACTGCGGCACCTCGCACAAAATTCTTTACAAAATGAAGTCTGAGAGGGCGGGGGTGGAGGACTCCAAAATGGATGTTTGAGC